CTTACATGAAATAATTGTCAATAATCTAACATTACAGCCTCTTGACGGGATGCAATATGATGTAGACACATAACCTATAAAATGGCCAGCAGTGTCTTAGTTGGATCTAATCAAGCCTTTATACATAAACAAAATAGGATATATATTTATATATTCACATAAAAGATTGGCTCAGAATTTTCACTTAGCACGAATATAATATTAAATTTTAAAAGAACTAAAATAAAACCGGCGATGAAAAAATTTGGCAGAAAATTAAGGAAATCTGAAAATAGATTGAGCATTAGATGATAATAGGGAATTATTGCTTATTTTCCTAGGTATGATAATGGTATCATCATTATACAGAAGAATATCCTTTTCTTAGGAGATGCTTACTAAAATCAAGGTAAAATATCCTAGTGTGTGCAATGGGGGTGCTCACAATACTGTTCTCTTTTAAAATTAAGTTTTAAAGATTTAGCAATAAATAGTTGAAAAATTAATTAAGATATCATTAAAAAGTGAATGAGAGGGTTGGGAAAGGGATATTAGTAATAATGACATTTTCAGGTTAAATGCAATTTTTGTGGTCTACTCCTACTTGAAATATCTGTGTAAATTTTGTATGAGATATATATCCAGATTTGTTCACTGGAAAAACAATAGACTAATTACTGACAACTCAACATTAAAATGCCTGGTATTAAAAAATATAGCACCGCTTCATTGGATAATGAACTTCAGGGAATTGTAATGGAAGACAATGAAGCAAAGAAATGATTTATTTATGTGTAACCTAAGATAATAAAATGACTTATAATGGTGAGAAGGGTATTCTGGGGAACCACAGCATTGCTGTGAAAAAGCGAGCAAATACTTTTTAAATTTTTTAATGTTATTATTTTTTTGAGATGAAGTCTTGCTCTGTTGCCCAGGCTTGAGTGCAGTGGTGCGATCTCAGCTCACTGCAACCTTCACCTCCTGGGTTCAAGCAATTCTCCTGCCTCAGCCTCCCAAGTAGCTTGGGATTACAGTTGTGCACCACCACGCGTGGCTAATTTTTGTATTTTTGGTAGAGACAGGGTTTCACCATGTTGGCCAGGCTGGTCTTCAACTCCTGACCTCGTGATCCACCTGCCTTGGCCTCCCAAAGTGCTAGGATTACAGGCATGAGCCACCACACTTGGCTGAGCAAATACTTTTTGATAGAATTTGTTAAAGTAGAACAACCACAAAATCTATAAATGTTTGTATAAAATATCAGTTCTAAGAGAAGCATTGGGAAGTCTTTATGGCTTCTGGTCTTTTCTTAAGTAATAGTATATTAACCTTACCCTTACTTCTTTGCTCCTTAGACACCCTCCTCTCAAATGATTATGTCAAAGAAACTACTCTCATAGAAGTTTAAGTAAAAACAATTTCAAGCTTTTAACTCAACATTATTTTTGACAGTAAAAAAGATGGCCTCATTAAGGAAAAATATCAGTAATGTGGCATCTATTATATGATTTTACATTCGTTTTAGCTTTAGAACCAAGTATGATAAACTGTAATCACACTGCGGCCGCTCATAGTTTTGTTAAACTCTTAACCACCTGTAGGGTTTTGCTTTTTCTCTGCTTTGGCTTTCCTTCAAATCACTAATCTTTTATGTTTCCTCTGTGAATGAAAAGCACATTTTATTTTCATCAATCTGAGATAATTTAAGTATGATTATCTCTCAAACTTGAGAATTGATGATCAATATATCAAAATTATAAGACAGTTTGTTACATTGAAATGTATTTATTAAGAGCAAAACTTTCATTTAATTCACTTGACCTGTGTTTCATAGAGCCACAGACCTGAGCAAAATGATATTGTTATGGAGAAGAATAATTTTTAAAAATGCGAATGAGGACTACCTCTAGATTCTCAGTGCTGGTGATGGTGAATTGGGAAGTAGTAGGAAGCATGGTTGGATTTTAAAAAAGCACTCTCCAGAGAAAGGGCTATGACTGGGGCCTGACATGTGCTTGCTGTGTCCAGGGTGCGGAGGGTGAAGGGGGAGAAGGTTAGGAAAGAACATCAAAAAGCACACGAAAACAAGTGCATTTTGTGAATTGATGCTTGGAAACATCTTGGAATAATTCTTTTGAACATTGTTGATGGTCAAGATACATCTATTATTTGCAAATTACCAACTGACTGGTCTCTTGCTCCCTAAAATCTACAACTACCGGAACCCTGACATCTGTAAAAGATTACAGCTGGTCATACTTTACAGTTTCCTGATTTCATGTTTGAGGTCATCTCTAGACCATAGATGGCATCAGTCATTTGTCTTAGAGGGGCTTGTTGTTGGAGAAATGCAAGAGAAAATAAAGAGGTTTATTTGATTTTTTTTCTCTTCCTCTCCCTATTGGTTATTGCTACACTGGACAGCAATACCCTCACTCTACACTCTCTTCCCCAAATTTCTAAAGGAAATGAGGAGGCTATTCTTCCTTTGCCTTTTTGTGACCTTTCTTTTTTCCCCAGAGAGCCTTGGAAATTTATTTAACTAGATTTCAGCTGTATAAAATGGATGGTTAGGAAGAGAAGGAAGCATATAATGTGGTTATGTGTGCCCCAATACTTCCTAGAAATGACGCTGTGTGCCAAATTCCCCTCAGGAGATGCCTTGCTGTTTTATAATCCATGGAGCATCTTATAATTATACAACCATTAATTCCTTTTCCTGCTTCAGATTTCACTGATTTACTTATGTAACAGTGTCATTAAAACCCATATATCATTTTTCACCATTAATCCATTATTCATGAGTTTTATCCATCTCTGAAGTATGTTCATCAGGAAAAATAGCCTCAATTTGCATTTTAATTGACCAAATGTACAGTGGTATCTGATAATATAAATGGTCATTTCTGGTTAAGCAGAAGCTTATGTTTAGTGGGATTAAAGTGATCTTTATTTTACAGTTCTCTCTTCTGATGTGATTTTCATAAATGTGCTAAAGTAAATAAATAGAGATTGCTTGTATATTAACTGGTTTTACCAATAGCTATACAGCTAGAGTTGCCAGATAAAATATAAGAGGCCCCATTAAATTTGAACTTCAGATAAACTACTATTTTTCCTTAGTATAAATATTCTGCAAATATATGCATACTTATATATAAAATTATATGGTTTTTTTTGAAATTCAAATGTAACTGTGTGCTCTGTGTTTTTATTTACTAAATCTGGCAACCATACCTACATAGTAACAAAGTCAAAACAGCTAGATAAATCCCTACTATCAACATAGGTCTCCTTTATTACCATGAATAATTTTAAAAAACATGTTTTTGATGATTTTGATACTCTTAAATAACTATATTGTTAGGTACCAGGAAACAATATTGATTTGTATTTTTGACCTTGTGTTGAGATAATCAGGTTATATCTATTCAAATTCCCACTGTATAAAAATGTGTAATATTTGCTGTCCAATTTTATTTCTACCAGATAGTATTTTACACAAAATTTTGCATAGACTAAGTCTTCAACAAATATTTATTTTGCAACTCCTTTCTTTCTTTTTTAATTTATTTTTAAATAAATTTTTAATTTACTTAAACTCCTTTTTAATTTATTTTAAACTCCTTTTTAATTTATTTTGCAACTCTTTTCTTGGAAGAATTAAACACTAAAAATCCATTCAATCAATTTATGTCTCTACTTCAGAAAAAAAAAAAATACTAGTAAATAAAGGTCATGAACATATTGTGCCCCAAAGCAGTCAGCAGGTCAACCATCTTGACTTTTACTTCTCATTTTCCTTGACTTCAAGGGAAATATATTCGTTTCCTATTGCTGTTTGTAACAAAGTACACAAACTTAGTGGCTTAAAAGAACACAAATTTATTCTCTTATAGTTCTAGATGTCAGAAGTCTTAAACGATTCGCTAAAATCAAAGTGTTGGCAGGGCTGGTTCTTTCTGGAGGTTTCCGGGAGAATTCATTTCTTGGCCTTTTTCACCTTGTAGAGGCCATTTGTATTCCTTGGCTCAAAGCCCCTTCCTCATTCCAATTCAACTTTTTTTTTTTTTTTTTTTTTTTTTTTGAGACGGAGTCTCGCTCTGTCGCCCAGGCTAGAGTGCAGTGGCCGGATCTCAGCTCACTGCAAGCTCCGTCTCCCGGGTTCACGCCATTCTCCTGCCTCAGCCTCCCGAGTAGCTGGGACTACAGGCGCCGCCACTTCACCCGGCTAGTTTTTTGTATTTTTTAGTAGAGACGGGGTTTCACCGTGTTAGCCAGGATGGTCTCGATCTCCTGACCTCGTGATCCGCCCGTCTCGGCCTCCCAAAGTGCTGGGATTACAGGCTTGAGCCACCGCGCCCGGCCTCCAATTCAACTTTGTGCTCCATCATCACGTCTACTACTACTTACTCTGATCACACTGTCTCCTTCCTACAGTGACCCCTGTGATTATATTGGATTCACCCAGATAATCCAGAGTAATCTCACCATCTCCTTTACCACACCTGAAAAGTTTCCTTTACTATATAAAGTGACGTACACTCAGGTTCTGGGAATTAGGATGTGAACCTTTGGGGAAACATTCAACCTACCATAGAAAGGGATTGGCAAAGTGAACCTCATAATACATGTCTACATCTGTATTAGAAATAAATTGTATACGTACACACATACCTTACGTTTTTTTAAACAGCAGTGCTTTTCACTTCCAAGAACTAATTTGAGTATTACTCTTAGAGTAGATGGTAAGGCAGACATGAACAGGCCAGGAGACAGCCCCTCACCACCAAGGGTGTCAGGCAACCATCAGGAGATGGTCAGCAGGTTATTAAACCGTCTTTCTAGAATAATAATTGGTCACAGCCAGCGCCAGGGAAAGGCAATCTCCCAATAGCTAGAAAAAAACCTGAAACTGGTGGTCAGCAGCTTCTCGATCAGATCTTGGGCGAGTGGGCTCAAGCACACATAGTACCAGAAAAATGGCAGAGTTTAATTTGTATATAATCTTCCTCTAGGAACATTCGGTAAGAGAAGAACGCCTCAAGAGAGCATGTGCAAAGCTGCGCAAACACACTGCGCCTGTGGCCCCTCCCAAGGGTTGGCAGATCACAGCGCATGTGGACAGCCTACCCCAAAGGAAGAATCAGGGGAGAAGGGATGCAACCCCCTGGAAGTACTCCAACCTATCAACCCCAGGTCAAAGGTCCAGCTGCACGCATTTTCTCAAGCTGCCTGCTTGGCCCTCTTCCAAGTGTACTTCACTTCCTTTTGTTCCTGCTCTAAAGTGTGTTTATAAACTTTCACTCCTGCTCTGAAACTTGCCGAGGTCTCTCTCTCTGCCTTATGCGCCTCCGTCGAATTCTTTCTTCCGAGGAGGCAAGGACTGAGGTTGCTGCAGACCCGTATGGATTCGCCGCCTGTCACATCACAATACCACGGTGGTGTAGACCAGACGGGTATTGTTTTGCTGCTTTTCTTTCTAAATTTTTTTTTTTTTAGACGAAGTTTTGGTCTTTCGCCCAGGCTGGAGTGCACTGGCAGAATCTCGGCTCACTGCAACCTCCGCCTCCTGGGTTCGCGCCATTCTCCTGCCTCAGCCTCCCGAGTAGCTGGGACTGCAGGCGCCCGCCACCACGCCTGGTTAATTTTTTTTGTATTTTTAGTAGAGACGGGGTTTCACCATGTTAGCTGGGATGGTCTCGATCTCCTGACCTCGTGATCCGCCCGCCTCGGCCTCCCAAAGTGCTGGGATTACAGGCGTGAGCCACCGCGCCGGCCTTGTTTTGCTGCTTTTCATATGCTAATTAGTAATCACAACTGCAACATTTTGAGTGTTTACTATGCTGCAGTATGGGCTATAGGTATAATGCTGGGAATCTTTCATTTCCTTTAATTTTTGGAACCACCCTATGAGGTAGGTTTTATTATTATTCTCATTTCCAGGTGAAAATAATGGAGGATAGAGAGATTAAGTAAATGAGCAACAATTATTAAGACATTTTTAACATTTAGTGTTTACTCAGGCACTGTAGTACTTTATGTACATTTTCCCATTAAATCCTTTCAAAACTTCAACGAGTAGATAATGTTATTAATGCTCACAGTTCGGAAGAGGTTAAATAACGTGCCCAAGGTCACGCAGCTTGTAAGTGGCAGAGCCAGGATGCACACCGGGTTGATTGGATTCTGGGAATCATATTAACCAGTCCACTCTATTGAGCTTGTCTACCGTTGCATGGCTCATACACAGCAGAACTAAAGTTACAACAAATAATGCCCATTTCCTAGGGTGGTGTTCTTTCAATCACAAAGCCATCAGGATGGTGGTCTGTCTGGCATTCTAGTGCAGCCACAGCCCTCGGAGATACCAATTCTCTTAGTCTGAGGTGAGGCCCAAGCACTGGTATGCTTTAAAAGCTGCCTGGGTGATTAAAATGTGCAGGCGGGATTGTGACCCACTGCACAAAGGGTAGATCCTAAGCTTCCAGGAAGCAGCAGGCTACGATGCATAGAAAAAAACCAGAAAAAATATAAATTGTTTGGGCTGGGCTCGGTGGCTCATGCCTGTAATCCCAGCACTTTGGGAGGCTGAGGCAGTGGATCAGGTGAGGTCAGGAGTTTAAGACCAGCCTAGCCAACATGGTTGAAACCCTGTCTCTACTAAAAATACAAAAATTAGCCAGGCGTGGTCGTGCACGCCTGTAATCCTAGCTACTCAGGAGGCTGAGGCATGAGAATCGCTTGACCTGGGGAGGCGAAGGTTGCAGTGAGCCGAGATCATGCCACTGCACTCTCCCCTGGGTGACAGAGTGAGACCCTGTCTCAATAAATAAATATAATTTTTTAAAAAAACTTGTTCTGGAGGTCAATTACGTGCCCTTGTCACCAGCCTTCAGGAGGTTTGCTGCATCCTACAGCCTGCATGAGGTGACAGAGAGCCTGCAGAGAGCTATTAACCATTTCTTTGTTCCTACTTCTGCTGACAAATACAGTGAATGGGAACCTCTCAGAAGCCAGAATTACATCAATGTAATCATTAGTGATTCTGATAAAAGAATAGCCAGAAGTACCCCAAACTGTGAATGTGCTTTCAGTGAGCTCACATTTTAAAAGCATGAATATAAAACAAATTAAAAAAAAGGAAACCTAATCAAAAATAGATTTAGAAGGATAGCCCAGGCCTGTAAAAATATTGTTAGAAAGGCCAATATTCAGAATGTGCTAAATTGCAGTAAGTCTGAAAACAAAACAGAACAAAAAAACAAAAACATTTTTAGATAGATGAGAAGCAAGGCCAGGCATGAGGCTCATGCCTGTAATCCCAGCACTTTGGGAGGCTGAAGCAGATGTATCGCCTCAGCCCAGGAGTTCGAGACCAGCCTGGGCAACATGGCAAAATCTCATCTCTACAAAAGAATACAAAAATTAGCCGTCGCGTTGGCACGTGCCGGTGGCCCCCGTGGAGGTTACAGTGAGCCAAGATCACGCCACTGCATTCCAGCATGGGGGACAGAGAGAGACTCTGTCGCAAACAAACAAAAGCCCACTCCCCGCAAAAAAAAAAAAAAAAAAAAGAGAGAGAAAAGAGAGAGATACAAGGAGGAAGGATTTTAAATAGCATAGGCCAAGATATCAGGAAACCCTCCTTTAAAAAAATCCACTGAAGTTTGTATGTTTTCCCTATCATTTAGAATGATTCTCAGACTAGAAAAGATGAGACAAATATACCTTATTAAATCAGAATTTTAGAGCAAATTTAGAGAATCTAGCTTGTGCTCACTTCACAGCCCTTACCAAGCTGAAGTCTTTTTAAATTTCTTTTTTGAGAAGGAGTCCCGCTCTGTCGCCAGGCTGGAGTGCAGTGGCACGATCTCAGCTCCCCGCAACCTGCGCCTCCTGGGTTCAAGCAATTCTCCTGCCTCAGCCTCCTGAGTAGAAGTCTTTTGAATATGTTATTAACTTGGCCGGTCAATAGACTTTTTTTTTTTCCTGTTTTCTTTCTTTCTTTCTTTCTCTCTCTCTCTCTCTTTCTCTCTTTCTTTCCTTATTTCCTTTTGAGACAGGATCTCGCTCTGTCACCCGGACTGGAGTGCAGTGGCGCGATCTTGGCTCACTGCAACCTCTGCCTCCCAGGTTCGAGTGATTCTTGTGCTTCAGCCTCCCAAGTAGCTGGGATTACAGGCATGCACCACCATGCCTGGCTAATTTTTGTACTTTTAGTAGAGACAGCGTTTCACCACGTTGGCCAGCCTGGTCTCCACCTCCTGGCCTCAAGCGATCCACCTGCCTCGGTCTCCCAAAGTGCTGAGATTACAGGCGTGAGCCACCACACCTGGCCCAAAAGGCGTTTTTTGAGTGGGTGAGACTCTGTCCTGGGTTCCTGTGGAGCACTCTCCCCTTGCCACATCTTCCCGTCTCCTCTGGGGCTTGGTCTAGTTCTAATGAGTTTATATTTAAGCAGCAATGTTGAGTTACTATTGAGGCATCAGGAGAACAGAGAAATAGAAAGCTGGGCATGTATAAATATTCTCATCTCAAAAATGTAAGGTAACATCTATGAACTTCAGACTTGCAAAGTTGGTGTTGATCTCTAGATAGCTCACAGGGCCTTCTGAGATAAGATTTCTGCCATCCTTCTCAGCACATCAAGCAGAGCCTAAATCACACAGGGTTTTGCAATTCCAGGTGAGGTTGCAGTGAAAGCCTAGAGAACTCCAGGGGAAGAGTGCATTCAGCTTCTTTTCATTCCTAATTGAATTTCAGACTAGGTTTATATTTCTAGACTGGAAATAATTTGCCCTCAAAAGCATGAAAGCTTTGCCCCATTGTCTTCAAGGTATTTGAATTCTCCTTCTGGAAACATATGACCTATTTTTTCCTTGTAGAAACATTTAGAGTCTTCTTTTTTATCTCTGTTATTTTGAAACGTTATAAAGATATTCTTTGATATTTGCCTTTTCCTATTCATTGTGCTGTGCCCTCAACAGGAAATTTTTGCTCTGAAAATTCTTACCTTTCAGTTTGGAGAGATATTCTTACATTATGTCTTTGATATTTCTCTCTGTTTTCTCTGTTCCTTGTTTCTGGAACTCCTACCAGGAAATTCTTATCTCTTTTCTGACTTTATTTTTGTATCCTTTTTTTCCTATTTTGCATCTCTTTGCTTTTTAACCTTATTCTTTGAGAGATGTCCCCAACTTTATCTTCCAATCCTTCTATTGCATGTTTTATTTTTGCTATCATAACATTAATTTCCCAGAGTAGTTTTAGTTGTCTGAATGCTCCTATTTTTTTTAAGATCAGTTGTTTCATGGAGGAAATTCTTTTTGATAACTTTGAGAATATCTATCTATATATGTATATTTCCTTCTGCTTCCTGAGCTTTCTCTGTCCCTGTGAGTTTCTTTGTTTTGTTCTTTCATGTCTGGGTTTCTTCAAATGTTCAGTGATCCCGCGTGGTCTGTTCCTATTTTAAAATGAGGCTCTGAAAGACTAATTTGGAAGCTCTGTGTGTTCAGGCAGCGCTTGGTGTATTGTGAGTATCATGCGGGGATATTGTGACAGGGTCTATCTTTACATTTGCTTTTTCTTTTTTGGGTGGTCAGTTTCCTCAGAAAGGAGTGAATACATGGCTGTCTGTGTACTCGGGAGTGAAACTGGGACACATTTGTCATCATGAAGACTTCCAGTTTTCTCCCTCGTTGCAGTTTGAGGAAAGTGTGCCATCTGTTTCCTGCCAAGAACCTGCCTGATAAGCTTTTGGCTATGCCAGAAATCTCTTGTCCAGAGCGCCTCTGGTTCAGTGTATTCAACGAGTAAATCACCAAGTCTTTGCCACAGATTAAATGAGAAAACAAATGTTCCAAAAAAAGTTGCAGAACAGTATATGCATAATATGATTCACGGAATTTAAAATAGTGTGCATGCACTCCACTTCCACACGCCTCCTGTATGCTTTGTGAAATAAAGTTTATGGGACGTCATTGTTTTGGACTGAGCTTATGCACTAGACCCCAACAGACCAGACCAAACCAGAATGGGTCACTCGTGCCAAGTGCCATATAATCAAACTAAACTTAGAAATTGGCGTTTCTGAAAAATCAGGAGAATAACAGCAACCAATCCAAAGGGGCCCAGTCTGATGTCCAGCTGCTTCTCCTCTCTCTGTTGGTTGAGTGTGGGGTGGGAGGTGGGGTGGGCCATGCGTAATTCAGGAAAAGGCAACATTTGAGCAGGAAAACAGGGATGCAAGTTTCCACTTTGGGCTGCGGTCTTAGGCTTTTTGGCTTGAGTGTGGGGCTTTGCCAGGGACTCACCTTTTTCTGCCTAGAATTTCTCTGCTGCCTGTCCCTATCTGAAGGAGTACACTCTAAAACAATAATAAAAAATACAGTATAGTAAATACATAAACCAGTAACGGTCATTTATTGTCATTATCAAGTATTATGTACCATTCATAATTGCACATGTTATACTTTTGTACAACCGGCAGCACAGTAGGTTTACACCAGCATCACCGTAAACATGAGTAATGCATTGCACTGTGACATTAGGACAGCTATGACATCATTAGGCTACAGGAATTTTTCAGCCCCATTATAATCTTATGGGACACCCCGTGCTACATCCATTGCTCACCGAAATGTGGTGATGTAATGCGTAACTGTACATTCAACCGTTAACAGGATTTAACTCTAGGAAATGGTTGTGGGGTAGAAGAAAGAAACAAAGAACTTCTCATTTTTAATTTTTACAATTCTCTACTCTTCCCCTGAATGACCGTATATAACTTTATAATGTTTTTCACAAACAGCTCCCGATGTAATTCTGATGCTCAGCTAGACTTGCAATCACTGGTTACTATCTATTTCTGTGTTCCCCTCCCAGCAGAATATTGGAATTAAAATGATAGCAAAGACTGAATGGCCAAATGATAGGAATTCTACAGAGGTCTTCCTGTATGAGGTTTGTGGGAATGTGGGTGGTACACAAAGAAAATGGTCAGCTTGGATTTTTTCTTTTTTTCATTTAATGCATTTTTGGTATAAAAATGTCTCAGCTTTTGTTGTTGTTGTTTGTTTGTTTGACATAGGGTCTCCCTCTGTCACCCAGGTTCAAGGACAGTGGCAGGATCACAGCTGACTGCACCCTTGAACACCTTGGCCCAAGCGATCCTCCAGCCTCAGCTTCCATAGTAGCTGGGAGTACAAGTGCATGCTACCACACCCAGTTTATTTTTTAAATTATCAGTAGACACAGGCTGGTCTTGAATTCTTGGGCTCAAGTGATCCTTCTGCTTCAGCCTCCCAAAGTACTGGGATTACAGGCATGAGCCACTGTGCCCAATTTGAGTATTTGCTTTATAGAGTACTATGGACATCTAATAGATATTGATAATTATATCAATACTTTACCTGTGATTCTAAATGAGTAGGACTACATATGGTGCAATATGGCTTTAAGTTAAATGAATGATATTGTCTTAAATGCACTCCCATACTTAAAATATCCATATTAAAAATACTGATTTATATTGTTTCCTTTTCATACACACACATACATTACAGAATTTGTTTGTAAAAGGAAAGCACTAATTACCTAACCACCTTAACACGATGACTATTAAAAATATTTCTTTACATTAGATTTCAAAAAAAATCTTCTATTGTTCATGTAAATAAATTTTCTTGAGTTTCTGATTTTTATAATTCTGAAAACGAGCAATACATTTCATTTTTCTGTACACAGATATTTCTATAAACTGCAATGTGTTTGAAAGTATTTTTTCCATTAAATAGAAAAGTAGTATTATGTTTCGAAGTGTCTGCTGTTACTGTTTCCACCCACTAAAAAAACATTCCATTGCTACTGAAAAAAATGTCACTTTTTCCCCGCAAAACATTGTCAGAAATTCATGTGATAATGTTTTCTTTTCTTTTTATTTTATTTTATTTTATTTTATTTATTTTATTTAATTCTTTGCTAGGGCAAAGGGGAAGTAATTTTATGTTGTAGCTCATGGCCTTATGTACCCTTAGAGTTAAATTTTGAGAAAAAATAGTTTTGAGTAAACAAAGAACTAAAGCACCAAATATTTTATTTGTAACCACAGTTTTAAATCGTGTGTGGATCTTTTGTTTCTGGCTATGGGAAAGGTAAATAGGGCAGTTCCTCTTACAATCATGAGCCAGATTCCATTACGTTTTCCTGCTTGCCCAAATTAGCGAACGATGTCATTTGTTGCTGTTCACTGCTAATTATCAGTCTTTCTACAAATTCAAGCAATTGTATTATTTGGAATTCCATACTCCTTTCAGCCCCCGCAATGTTTTGTCTTGTATTGTAGTGCTCTGCAAATCTGTGTAAAGCAATGTATCATTGTTAAATAGAGGAAAAAAAGACCTTTCAGAAAGAATTATCTCGAAACTTTTAATAAGACTATTTTTTGTTGTGTGTGCCTGGCTCCATTCTGAATATCAGTGTAAGCATCACACTGATTTGTGAGTTTTCCATTGTCTTTGAATGAGGTGCCCTCGGATGCTTGAGTTTTTCTAAGCCTTTGCTTTCACTCCAACTGTGGGTCCTGCCATGCCCTAGCCACATTTCAACAACAAAGGCACGCCTCTGAAAAGTATGCGGCACGCTCTGTCACTTTTTCCTCCTTGTACAATCTTACCATTATCTTATCGTTGAGCAAATGATGTACTTGTTGTTTAAGCAATTAGATAAAGCAATGGTGAGTAAACAATAATTTCTTGTTTATTCTAATGAAAGAGTAGTGTTGAAAATGCTAGAATATTCAAATAGGAGTTGTACGTAGCCAAATACCTTCATTTATTTACCGAATATGCCCTTCAAACAGATTTTTTTCTTCTTCTTCTTTTTATTATACTTAAGTTCTGGGATACATGTGCAGAACCTGCAGGTTTCTTACATAGGTATACATGTGCTACGGTGGTTTGCTGCACCCATTAGCCCATCATCTACATTAGGTATTTCTCCTGATGCTCTCCCTCCCTTTGTCCCCCACCCCCCGACAGGCCCCAGTGTGTGATGTTCCCCTCCCTGTGCCCATATGTTCTCACTGTTCAGCTCCCACTTATGAGTGAGAACATGCGGTGTTTGGTTTTCTGTTCCTGTGTTAGTTTGCTGAGAATGATGGTTTCCAGCTTCATCCATGTCCCTGCAAAGGACATGAACTCATTCTTTTTTATGGCTGCATAGTATTCCACGGTTTACATGTGCCACATTTTCTTTATTCAGTCTATCCTTGATGGGCATTTGCATTGGTTCCAAGACTTTGCTATTGTGAATAGTGCTGCAGTAAACATACATGTGCATGTGTCTTTATAGTGGAATGATTTATAATCCTTTGGATATATACTCAGTAATGGGATGGCTGGGTCAAATGGTAATTTTAGTTCTAGATCCTTGAGGAATCGCCACACTGTCTTCCACAATGGTTGAACTCCCACCAACAGTGTAAAAGCGTTGCTGGAGTGCAATGGCGTGATCTCAGCTCACTGCAACCTCCGCCTTCTGGTTTCAAGTGATTCTCCTACCTCAGCCTCCCAAGTAGCTGGAATTACAGGTGTCTGCCACCACATCTGGCTAATTTTTGTATTTTTAGTAGAGACAGGGTTTCACCATGTTGGCCAGGCTGGTCTCAAACTCCTGACCTCGTGATCCACCCGCCTGGGCCTCCCAAAGTACTGGGATTACGGACATAAGCCATCGTACCTGGCTGCTTTTTTGTGACAGGATCTCACTCTGTCACCAGGCTGGAATGCAATGGCATGATCACAGCTCACTGCAGTCTCGACCTCCTGAGCTCAACCAATCATTTTGCCTCAGCCTTCCAAGTAGCTTGGACTACAGATGCATACCACCGCACTTAGCTGACTTTTAATAGAGATAGGGTCTCCCCATGTGTCCCAGGCTTGTCTTGAACTCCTGGGCTCAAGCGCCCGGCCTGTATTCTGACTTTTTAAAGATCGCCATTCTAACTGGGGTGAGATGGTATCTCATTGTGGTTTTGATTTGCATTTCTCTAGTGACCAGTGATGATGAACTTTTTTTTCATATGTTTGTTGTCCACATAAAAGTCTTTCTTTGAAAAGTGTCTGTTCATATCCTTTGCCCACTTTTTGATGGGGTTGTTTTTTCCTTGCAAATTTGTTTAAGTTCCTTGTAGATTCTGGATATTAGCCCTTTGTCAGATGGACAGATTGCAAAAATTTTCTCCCATTCTGTAGGTTGCCTGTTCACTCTGATGATAGTTTCTTTTGCTGTGCAGAAGCTCTTTAGTTTAGTTAGATCCCATTTGTCAATTTTTGCTTTTGTTGCCATTGCTTTTGGTGTTTCAGTCATGAAGTCTTTGCCCATGCCTATGTCCTGAATGGTATTATAGCCTAGGTTTTCTTCTAGGGTTTTGATGGTTTTAGATCTTACATTTAAATCTTAAATTCATCTTGACTTAATTTTTGTATAAGGTGTAAGGAAGGTGTCCAGTTTTAATTTTCTGCATATGGTCAGTCAGTTTTCCCAACACCATTTATTTATTTATTTAATTTTTAAATTTTCTTTTTCTTTTTTTTATGATTATACTTTAAGCTCTAGGGTACATGTGCACAGTGTGCAGGTTTGTTACATATGGATACATGTGCCATGTTGGTGTGCTGCACCCATTAACTCGTCATTTACGTTAGGTATTTCTCCTAATGCTATCCCTCCCCCCTCCTCCCCACCCCATGACAGGCCCCGGTGTGTTACGTACCCTGCCCTGTTTCCAAGTGTTCTCACTGTTCAGTTCCCACCTATGAGTGAGAACATGTGGTGTTTGGTTTTCTGTCCTTGCGATAGTTCTCTCAGAATGATGGTTTCCAGCTTCATCCATGTCGCTACAAAGTACATGAACTCATCCTTTTTTATGGCTGCATAGTATTCCATGGTGTATATGTGCCACATTTTCTTAATCCAGTCT